TAAACCATACTGGGATTAGGGGTTAAAAGAACTGCAATACACACAGCCCAAGCCCTTAACCTGAAGATGGTTTCCTTATCTGTAAAGTAGGATAAACAAGCCTTGACCACTCAGTAGGGTAGTGTGAGACTCAAAAGAAGAAAGAGTAAAAGAAGTTTAGAGTGTATCAGAAACCATTAAGTTCCATATAAAGCCAGGGGACTATTTTACAATCTGGAATACAGGAGTCCAGATGATCTCTATGGCCCCTTGGAGTTAGTTCTAAGGTTGTAAGGTTCTGTATGAACTGAGTGTTATGCTAAGCCAAGCAATTTTCCGAAGGGTTCTGTAGTCATTATTCTAGATCCTGACAGCAGCCAGCAAAGAGGCGCGTGAGAAGGGCACGGTTCCTGACTTAGGTGTTTTTCCCGCCCCTGGAAAGCAGAAAAGGGTCAGTGGGGTTGAAGAGTCAATACAATTTAATGTCAGCCCAAAGAACATGAAGGATAGCTTGGCTTTCTTTTCTACTATATAATTCATCAGATAAAAGACAAAAGACCCTACTGTATTTTATAACCAAGCAATGACATATTTAACTGGAAACGTAACTCATTCACAAAAACTTAAAGTCTGGTTATGGAGTTAAAAATGAGAGTGCAACAGATATAATACAAAAAAATGTGGGGGGGGTACTGAATGTGGGATGTGGGGGTGAGCAGGGCAGGTGAGAGCAATGGAGGAAACATGGGGACAAATGTAATTGGATAATAAAAAAATTTTAATGTAAAATATAATCAGTACTCCATCCCACTGCTAGGTAAAAGTTATCAGAATCTGTTGTAAACAAGTTTGAGCAAGTAGTCTATAAAAATCACTTTATTTTTCAAATTCTTGTGATGAAATTTTAATGATACCCAGATAAATGAGGTGCTACTATGTGATTATTACATAGCCAAGAACTAAGAAGTATATAAAAATAAGGTTTATAAGCAATCCAATAGCTATCACTAAGTTCAAGTACTAAAGAAGAGTATTCCAACCTAAACTCTACAGGGTCCCCTGGTTTCCTGACCCCAGAGCAGATCGGATGCAGGAAGTTGGAAGCAGAGCAGATTACCAAAAGATGAGCACAACGGCCACTTCTCACCTACAGCAGCGGAGAGAAAGAGAAGGTGTAACGAGCAGTACCACAAGGCTCACAATTTGGGGAGTCACTATTTTATGGTATAGGAACTGCCACTCATAATCATGACTACATCAATAAGAAAAACAACTGTATATAATAATATCTATCAAAAAAACTGTTCAAATGTAGTGTGCTTTATATTTAAACTTTCAAGAGTTTAGTTTCAGTATTAGGACAATTCATCTGTGTGGAACATCTTGTTCCAGAGGAACTATGTGTGAAAACTGTACCGAGCCGATACATACACAGGAAAATTCTAGCTTGGTAGTAAAGGTCTTTATGGGAAGCACGTGCTAATTACTTATCATCATCTGTATGGTAAAGCAATAACAAAATCCTCTTGAACATCTAGGCCAACTTCCTAGAAAAGTTGTTACTAAATGAATTTGTAAGTAAAAGTTATCTTTTCAGAATGTTCTATTAATAAAAATATTGGAGCCAGCAGGAGACAACACAGTGAGAATTAGGAGCATAACTGGATCAAAGTGGGAGAATCTGAAACATCAGATGCAACAGAAGAAAAAGAGAAGGAAGAGGCTCAGAAACAAACAAACAAAAAAATGGAGTCAGGGAGAAGTAAGAAGGGGCCAGAGTCTCTGGGGCAGCAAGCGTGGGGATGAACGCAACCCGGAAGGCCGACCAGAGTCTTGGGGAAGAAAACGGAAGCGTGACATGGGAACTGCAGGGCTGGGCCACATGCTGCAGTTTCTCAAAAATGGTGAAAACAAGACTATACATGAAGCTTTAAAAAACAGTAATTCTCATTTAGGCAGAGGGTATTAGAACATAATTCATCAGTTTCTTCACTACATCAATGTATTTACACTCAATTTTGAACAACAAAAAAGTTTTCTAGGTATCCAATGTGAGTCTTACAGGTAAAAAGTGAAAATCTAGGTTTTTTCCTTATCTAGCTGCAGTTATCTGTTCCTATATGATCCACCATGTTTCTAAAAAGGACTCTGGAGTACTTAATTCAGGACTCCATTTCTCCTAACAAATGGACTTTTTTGTTTTGGCCATTAAAAAAAAAATCTCATCACGTGAGTGAGCTGCTGCTAGCTCTCCTCCTAACCTCGTTAGTTTCCTTCCCTGCCACTCCTGTTCGCACCCTTGTGGGGCTTCTCTTATCAAAGGCTTTCAGGGACAGGAAGACATAGCACCAACATGCCACAGCACAGCATCACGGCTTCCAATTTCCCAGGCTTGGTCAAAGTAAACCTTATAAAAGACTCCTGCCCTGGCTGGCGTAGCTCAGTGGATTGAGCGTGGGCCTGTGAACCAGAGTATCGAGGTTCGATTCCCAGTCAGGGCACATGCCTGGGTTGCAGGCCAGTTCCAAGCATGGGACGCATAAGAGGCAACCATACATTGATATTTCTCTCCCACTCTTTCTCCTTCCCTTCCCCTCTCTCGAAAAATAAATAAATAAAATATTTTAAGAAAACTTTTAAAATTAAAAAAAAAAAAAAGACTCCTAGTTCACAGTTTTACATGAGCCCCAAGTTATCAGTGAGAATAATTCATTCACCAAAAATAATATGTAAGTATATTCGCTTTCATTCAACTCAGGAGTTCCCACCCCCATGAAGATACTATAATGAAACATCTAGTATTCCTTGCCTGATTGAACGTTATACTTAACGTCCAATGCACTCACTTTTTCTGGAAACTTTCATAACTTTTAGCTAGATATCTTCTTGCTCTCAGTGCATGTCTCTACTTATAACAAACCACCCATTATCCTTCTCAACTGCTCTTGACCAGTTCTCTGTCACAGCAAATCAGATGGACCGACATACTTTTCCCACCTGTATTCACTGTTCACTAATGACAATGAATGATAAAAGCGGTGGGAGCGGAGAAAGACTGGGAGGTGTATTCGAAAACGTTACAGAGCAGCATCTGGTACAACTCCCCATCCAGCTGAGAACTGCGTTAACAACCAAATTTCTAAAAGGCTAGTTTGTAAGTAATAAGGATATAAAAGACACAGCAGAAATGAGAAGACATAGCCAATTACCTCAGTAGATAGTTTTTACCTACAAAAAGGTATGAATATCGTTACGAGAGAGAAAAATAGGCAAGAGCCTCATCTCAAACTTTATATTCTAAGGATCTTTCAGGAATTCCCTGTGCAATCCAAAATATCTCTCTGGTAGTCATAAATCTGAGTTTATAGTTGGCCAGACTTAAGTAGTAAAATATTCACCCTAAGTCTGCAGTGCTCAGCTAGTGATATAGGGCAAAGAGTGATGCTGCAGACTGAAGAACAGGTACCTTTCAGAATGGCCATGATATTGAGGCTGCTGTTTCCAGTGGATCTAGGGGAAAGGAGACTGGGGTAGAGCTACAAGAGACTTGTGGGCCTGGGGGACTGGGGCCGGAAGGCAGAAGCAGGAGCTAAGAACCTTGTAAAGAGAGAGTTATCCAAAGTCGCATTACCTACTGAGCAGAATGCAACTTGCCTGTCAGCTTTTTCTCCAATCAGTGCGTGAGCAGTGGGACAGCATTCTAAGGTGAGGACCTTTAGACATGGCCAAGTAGCTGTGAGAAACCCTAAGCTGTAAAGGTTTGTGTGGACTCTGGATGTACTCTAGCACAAGTTTTGGGCTCCTCTAGTGCTGTAGAGTTGCCACACACTCTGCCTTCCTGACAGAAGCAGACAAATATAAAGAATGAAATACTATACAGGGTAGTTATTGCTTGTATCTTAAGAAATTTTGCAAAGACCATAAACATGTTACAGGGTATTCTAGACATACCACAAATTCAAATATAATAGAATATTGGGAGGCAGGGGGAAGAAGCCCACAGTGGCTGACTCCTGAAACATGAAAAATAAAAGTAGTTGATGTAGGAGTAGTGGGAAAAGGAAATCAGCCAAGATTTTCCTGCACTGTCTCTGCATTTAAAGAAAAGAAAATGGAGAGCCCTGGCTGGTGTAGCTCAGTGGATTGAGCGCGGGCCTGTGAACCAGACAATCTTGGTTCGATTCCCAGTCAGGGCACAGTCCTGGGTTGCAGGCTGGTTTCCTGCAGGCCACTTCCCAGCAGAGGACGCACAAAAGGCAACCATACATTGATGTTTCTCTTCCTCTCTCCTTCCCTTCCCCTCTAAAGATAAATAAATAAAATCTTAAAAAAAAAAAAAAAGAAAAGAAAATGGAAAAACAAAATGAAGACATTACTTCACACAGCCCACTGCTTTTCTAACAGACTGAATTATTATCAATCTGAGAGGAATTAAAGCTCCTCCATTAAAAATAAACACACACACACACACCCCTCACATATCCACTACCTCTTGCTGTGAAAAGCAAGTTTCGGTATATTAAATTATTTAAAATTAAGAGAACATCACTAGAGTCAATTATAATGCAATCATCCCTATGTGCATATGCAGGGCAACAGTAAATACAGCTCTAGTTGCTAATTAAATTTCATTATAATAAAAAACACTTTTTACTTTAGTGGAACTATAAAACAAGGTAAGTACATTGTTAAAAATATTTTCCTAGACTACAGGGTAAAAGATTAAACAGAAAGGTGATATCTGGCCTCTCTCCAGGCATTTACAGTCATGCCACAATGGGGGTGTGTCCTGAGAAATGCGTGGTTAGGTGATTTGGTCACTGTGGGAACGTCACAGAGCATTCCTACGCAAACCTGGACGGTACGCACCTAGGCTATCTGGTCTGGCCTACTGCTCCCAGGCTACACGGCTGCACAGCATGTTACTGTGCTGACGACACAGTGGTTAGTAGTTGTGCATCTAAGCACATCTAAATACAGAAAAGGTAAGGTAAAAGTATGGCATAAAAGATTAAAAAGTGGTGCTCGCTTTGGCAGCACATACACTAAAACTGGAACAATACAGAGATTAGCATGGCCCCTGTGCAAGGATGGCATGCAAATCCGTGAAGCGTTCCATATTGTTAAGAGTAATGGGGGGGAAATGGGGACAAATGTGACTGAACAATAAAAATTTTTTTTTAAGATTTTATTTATTTATCTTTAGAAAGGAAGGAAAGTAGAGAGAGGGAAATATCAATGTATGGTTGCCTCTCACGCACCCCCTGCTGGGAACTGGCCTGCAACCCAGGCATGTGCCCTGACTGGGAATCAAACTGTCATTGTTTGGTTCACAGGCCCGTGCTCAATGCACTGAGCTACACCAGCCAGGGCTAAAAAAATTTTTTTAATGTTTGAAAAAAAGAAGATTAAAAAATGGTACATCTATACAGGGCACTTACCAAGAATGGAGCTTACAGGATTCAAAGCTGCTCTGGGCGAGTCAGCGAGGGAGTGGTGACTGTGCGGACCTAGGACGTTACTGCACACCACTGCAGACTTTATAAGCGCTGCCCCACAAGCCTCCCCAGTCCCTCCCGACAAGGTCAGAAAGAGAACATTGAAGCTGTCAATGCTGCTCCATGCACAGGGAGGTGCACTGGGTTGACCGCAAATATCAAGGAGAAACTGGCTGGGTGAGGCCCAGATCACCATAATAGGGACTAACAAGAAGGAATAAAAGGTGGCCTGAGGTGCAGTATGAATAAGAAATCATGATGGAGCCCTGGTATAGCTCAGTGGATTGAGCACGAGCCTGCAAACCAAAAGATCATGGTTCGATTCCCAGTCAGGGCGCATGCCTGGGTTGCAGGCCAGTTCCCTTCAGGCCAGTTCCCAGCAGGGGACACATGAGAGGCAACCATACATTGATATTTCTCTCCCTCTCTCTTTCCCTTCCCTTCTAGAGATAAATAAAAAATTAAAAAAAAAAAAAAAAGAAATCATGATGGAGACATATAGGAATGTAGGAAATTGTCATGGCAGTTTGGTTTTGGCTACTGCATACTGGAGCAGTGGTTGGATGAAGGAACTTTGTGGCATTCATTTAAAAAAGAGGGTGTTTGCCCTGGCAGGATAGCTGGGTTGGTAGGAGCATCACCCTGATACACCAAAGTTGCAGGTTCAATCCCCAGTTAAGGCACATGCAGAGTCAACCAATAAATATGTGGGTAAGTAGAATAACAAATCAGTGTTGCTCTCTCTCTCCCTTCCTCCCTAAAATCAATCCAAAAAAAAAAATTAAAAAGAGGGTATTTAATGTGGAAGAGGGTATTGAACTGAGGACACAATATTTGACTTTGGAAATCTGTTTTGGTTCCATTGCCCCTGTCTGGCACAAATGGCTCTTTCTAGCAGAGAACTGATGGAAGAAATGAAACTTTTCTATGCTTTAAAGCGTTATGACCTGAAAATATTTCCAAAGTACAGCAACAGGCTTATTCTACACGATCACAAGAAACTTTTACTGAAGTGGCAGTGACAATTAATAGTTGTTAAGATAGTTCCGGAGGACCTGTATCATTATACAGGATCTTTGGTCCTCAACACAGAATTTACAGCAATGGCCCTAACTGGTATGTTTCAGCTGGTTGGGCGATGTCCCAAAAAGCAAAGGGTTGCCAGTTCAATTCCCAGTCAGGGCACATGCCTGGGTTGCAGATTCGGTCCCATGGTCAGGGAATAAACAAGAAGCAACCGATCAATGTTTCTCTCTCACACTGATGTTTCTCTCCCTCTCTTTCTCCCTCCCTTCCCCTCTCTCTCAAAATAAATAAATAAAATCTTTAAAAAGAGAATTTAGCTCGATTTAGGAGAGCTCCAGTACCCCTGGAAGATGTAGTGCTGCAGGGAAAGGCTCCCCTCAAACAGGTCGGTGGCCGACCCACTGAGATCTGTGCACTAGAAATTCAGGTGCTGTGAGCGTGAGGGAGCCACTGCCAAGCCCCACAGACACTGCTCCTGTAAGAGAAAAAAAAGCCCCTCCTGAACCACATATCCTTCCATTTCTTGTAAGAAAGTTTCTTGTCTGGCTAAAGTATTTCCTACTAAAATATGACGTTCTTGATAGAATTTCTTTTCTAACACAAAAATGGGATTAAAACAATGAAGAATAAAAAAAGAGATGATGATTAACAAGTTGTGCCCCTTCTTCTGCAGTAGGACTGAGAACAAAAGACTAAACACTGTCCACAAATGCCCTGAAGAGGGCAGTAGAGGGAACAGGACAATTCAAGAGTTTTCCTTTCAGTTTTCTTTCCCTAAGCAGTTCTTGCAGATCTTGGGTTGTGGGTCTCAGTTTAAGGAAGGCCATCAGCAGTCACCAGCACAGGGCCCCTCCGACCCCCGTCAGCCCAGCGGCCGGGCTCACGCACACCCACCTCGTCATCGCTGTCCGACGTCTCCGAGTCCGAGGAGGCTGCGGGCTGAGTCACAGGGGGCTCCTTCTCCTCAGAGTCACTGCGTTTCCGCTTTGCCAGGGACAAGAGCTCCTAATAGGGCGGAAGTAATCACATGAGTTTTACTCAACAGAAAAGAAATATCCAGGAATAATAAAATGCTCACCCTCCCTAGATCTCTTCTATTTCTTTGCGCTTTCAATTGAAGGGGATTTTTATCACATGAATGGACCAACTACCAATGATCCTAAGTGCTAAAAGGAATGTTTTCAAAATTGTCCCCTCCCTTTTAATGGCAAATATATGTCTGAAATGGAAAAGTGAATATAAAAGTGACCTGGAGGCTACTTCCAAATTGTCACCATTTTCTCTATAATCTACAGAAGCACTGATTCTCAGGAATATATGTGAAAGAACCATGTATACAAAGGTAATTTGCTCACTGTTCTTGCTGGTATAGCTAACCAATTCTCTGAGCATTCTCTTCCTGTAATTCATAGTAAAACTGACATTTGTGAGACTGACTTAAATAAACTAACAAACTATATGTTTTATTTTGGATGCTTAAGTCAGGAAAAAAAAAAGGTCTATTTCCAGTGGTTAATCCAGGGTCTGACAACAGGCAGCAAATGTGCTGACCGCTACATCAGAATCCTAATTAGCCCTGGCCACGTGGCTCAGTTAGTTAGAGCGCCGTTCAACATGCTAAGGTGGTGGGTTCAATTCCCAGTCACAGCACATACAAGAATCAACCAATGAATGCATAAATAAGTGAAACAGCAAATTGATGTTTCTGTCTATCTTTCCTTCCACTTTCCTCTCTCTAAAATCAATAAATAAAAACTTTAAAAAAGAATCCTAATTTGACAATCCCAACATCCCCATTTAGTACTTCTGCTTTGTCCAGCTGATTTAATAATTCATCGGGGCAATTAATGGCATTAAATTATGGTTACAACCAGGATCTGCTCTCTCACAGGGCTCCCCCGTCCTGCTACTCCCTTCCAACTCAGCCCAGTCACTTAAAAGTGCAACAAAAGGACCCTTGCTCTGATTCCTGCTCTCTGCTAATGTGTCAATACCAGCCCACGATTATACTGTCCTTACTAGATGCCGGGTACTTTTCTAAGCATCTAACATTTAACCTGCACAACAACCTTAAGGTAACTATCATTATAATCCCAATTTTTTTCTTTTCTTTCTTTTTTTTTTTTTTTTAAGGATTGAGGGTGGGCTCTGTCACTTAGAAACTGGCTAAAATGGACCCTTTTATGTTTCCTCAGTGTCTCGATGGGGCTGTGTTCCTCATATAGTCTGATGAGGACGGAATTCACATACTAACTGTCTATGTTGTACACTCACAAGTGTAGAGGATGGAGGAACATGACTGCTGCAAAGTGGCTTGATGCAGACCCCATGCACTACTTCCCAGAGCAAAGCAAGGATATGCAGCCAGTTGGTTATTGGGTGCTCTAATTTTTTTCTTGCCAACTATTTATTTATTTACCTATTTGTTCATTTAAATGTAACCATCGCATTTAAAAATAAAGAAACTAAAGAACAGGAGAGGTTAAGTAACTTACCCAAGGTAACACAGCTAGTACATGATAGAGCTGGGATTCAAACCATACAGAATCCTAGTTCCTAATTCAGGCACTTTTACTAGTCTAAAACATTTTTCCCCTTCTGCCAAAAAGAGAAAAATACAACTGATAATTACAAGTAGTATCATTCCTTGAGATGATGGTGCTATACAACAATGGGTCAAGTGCCAAGACAGATTTTAAAATAATAGACTACTAAAAAGTATCTGTTTTCTCCTTCCAGTTTCTTTCTATTTTAGGAGCATATCTTCCTTGGCCAGAATGAGAAAATGACCTTCTCAGATTAACAGCTGGCGCACTCTCTTTCATAAGCAGTCATGAAATGTTACTCTTCTCATTTCATTAGAGGGAGCTAGCACACCAACCTCCTGAAAAGGCTTAAGACAACACTACTTTTTCATACCAAAACAGTTAACTCCTATTAACAGACAGCAGGTTACAGCAATATCTGTGTTCATGGCATCTTCAAAACTTGAGGTGCAACTGACGTACAGTACATTTTATCCTTTCTGATGTACAGTTCTATGGGTTTGACAAACAGGTGAACCACCCCCACAATTAAGATATATGATAGTACCATCACCACCCCAAATGTTGCTGTAATTTGTATTTGGTCAATAGGAGTTACTGTTTCGGTATGAACAAGTGAATGTTCCTATTCTCAGTCTTTCTGAAAGTCAGCGCTCTTCATACCCTTCCCCCAGCCCCTGGCAACCACAGCCCTATTTGTCCCTACAGAGCTGCTTATCGTAGAGTATCATATAAATGACATAATATAATATGCAGCCTTTTGAGTCTGGCTTCTTAGCATAATGCATTTGAGATTCATTCATCTTGCAGCAAGTTTCAGTAATTTACTCCTTTTTATTCCTAGGTAGTAGTCTATGAAATGGATACTTTGTTTATCCACTTAACAGCTGAAAAACATTTGGGCTGTTCCCACTTTAGGGCAATTTTATGTTGATACAAGTTTTTGTATAAACACTAAGTTTTCATTTTACTTTGGTAATTATCTATGAGTGGGATCATTGGGTTATACAGTAATTTGTGCATGGTCTTAACTATTATCTTTTTTCCTGTATTAC